CAAAATGTCTAATAATATAGCTTATAATCATTACCACTTAGAAATAGATAATTTTCAAATAAATCTGTCACTCCAATATTTTGTTGTGAGATAAGACATTATGCTTAGTCATGAAAAAGATAACAAGAGTAAAATATTCAACTAGAGGCTCTAAAGAGCCGGTGTCGCTCACCTTGGTCTATGTGCATATTAAACAAAGGACACAGATGGATTCATGATAAAATTGTGTTTTGGTGATGGTGATGTGTTTGTAGATCTTACTTTACTGAACATTCTTGCTGCTTACAATTATCTCTATCTATAATGAACTTGGCCCAGTAGTTACAGTGGAAAATATTTTGTAAAAATTTACAAAAATTTACAAAATTTATGAAAATTGTGAAAAATTGACTATAAAGGGCAATAACTCCTTAAGGGTCAATTGATAATTTTGGTCATGTTGACTTATTTGTAGATCTTACTTTGCTGTACATTATTGCTGTTTACAGTTTATTTCTATCTATAATAATATTCAAGATAATAACCAAAAGCTGCAAAATTTTCTTAAAATTACCAATTCAGGGGCAGCAACCCAACAACGTGTTGCCTGATTGGTCTGAAAATTTCAGGGCAGATAGATCTTGACCTAATGAACAATTTTATCCTGTCAGATTTGCTATAAAGGTTTTGGTTTCAGAGATATGAGCCAAAAACTGCCTTTTTCCCTATGTACTATTTTTTAGCCATGTCGGCCATCTTGTTTCGTGGGTGGGGTCATCGGACACATTTTTTAAACTAAATACCCTAATGATGATTGTGGACAAGTTTGGTTAAATTTGTCTTAGTAGTTTCAGAGGAGAAGATTTTTGTAAAAGATTACAAAAATTTACGAAAAATTGTTAAAAATTGACTATAAAGAGCAATAACTCCTTAAGGGTTCAACTGACCATTTTGGTCAAGTTGACTTATTTGTAGATCTTACTTTGCTGAACATTATTGCTGTTTACAGTTTATCTCTATCTATTATTATATTCAAGATAATAACCAAAAACGGCAAAATTTCCTTAAAATTACCAATTCAGGGGCAGCAACCCAACAACGGGTTGTCAGATTCATCTGAAAATTTCAGGGCAGATAGATCTTGACCTGATAAACAATTTTACCCCCATGTCAGATTTGCTCTAAATGCTTTGGTTTCAGAGATATAAGCCAAAATCTACATTTTACCCCTATGTTCTATTTTTAGCCATGGCGGCCATCTTGGTTGGTTGGCTGAGTCACCGGACACATTTTTTAAACTAGATACCCTAATGATGATTGTGGCCAAGTTTGGTTTAATTTGGCCAAGGAGTTTCAGAGGAGAAGATTTTTGTAAAAGTTAACGACGCCGACGAAGACGGACGCCAAGTGATGAGAAATAGCTCACTTGGCCCTTTGGGCTAGGTGAGCTAAAAATTCCACTTTTGAATATTAATAAAAATGGCGATAACTCACAAAGGAGATATACTAATATCTTGAAAATTGAACTAGACCTTCATTAAGTCCCAGGAAACAACATATTTAAATTTGAAAAAAATTTGTTAAAGCGTTTTCATGTTATTCTGCTGACAAGCTGTTTGGCAGCCGCCCTTCGTATGTCACCATTTTAATAACCGATATTTCCTTCGAAAATCCGGTTAATAAAATGCTCCACTAGGGCGCATTGCTACGACCACAGAGGACAGTTTGGGCAAGTATGGACACTACATTCAAGCTTGATACAGCTCTGAATTTGGATTGTGATTAAATATTTGACACATCATAGGTTTCTGACACAGAATAAATGTGGTCAAAGAACTAAAAATTTTGAAATTGGACTTTTACCTTTTATGGTCAAATATCCAAAATCTAAATACACGGTTAGATTCAGCATATCAAAGAACCCCATATATTCAATTTTTGTTGAAATCAAACAAAGTTTAATTTTGGACCCCGAATTTGGACCAACTTGAAAACTTGGCCCAAAATCAAAAATCTAAATACATGTTAAGACTCACCATATCAAAAAAACCCTTGAAAGCAATTTTTGTTAAAAGCAAACAAAGTTTAATTTTGGACCCTTTGGACTTTAATGATTATGTTAACCAACTTGAAAACCAGTCCCAAAACACAGTTAGATTCAGCATATCAAAGAAAACCAATAATTCAATTTTTGATGAAATCAAACAAAGTTTAATTTTGGACCCTTTAGACCTTAATATGGACAAAATCCAAATTCTAAATACACGGTTAGATTCAGCATATTAAAGGACCCCAAATATTCAAGACTTTGAATTAAACCCAATTGAAATTGGTCAAGAAATAAGCAATTTATACAAAGTATTACAAAAGTATTGTTTTTGGCCCCTTTTTCTTAACAGTTAGGGTCATAACCCCCAAAATCAATCCCAACCTTTCTTTTATGGTATGGAACCTTGTGGTACAATTTCCTAGTGATCTAGTTATTGTCCAGAAACCAGAAAATACTAGTTTTTTGGCCTCTTTTCAGCCCTAATTCATAAACAGTTTGGGACATTACCCCCAAAATCAATCCCAACCTTCCCTTTGAGGTATAGAACCTTGTGGTAAAATTTCCTATTAATCCATACACTTATACACAAGTAATTGTCCTGAAACAAAAAAAATGCTTGTTTTTGGCCCCTAATTACTAAACAGCTACGACAATAACCCCCAAAATCAACCCCAACCTTTCTATTGTGGTATGGAACTGTGTGCTACAATTTCATAGAGATCCATACACATATACTCAAGTTATGGTCTGGAAACCAAAATGTTTTCGGATGACAAAAAAAAATGCGTTTTTGGCACCTAGTTCCTAAACAGCTAGGACAATAACCCCACAACGCAATCCCAAAATTCCTATTGTGGTATATAACCTTGTGCTACAACTTCATAGAGATCCATACACTTATACTCAAGTTATTGTCTGGAAACCAATATGTCTTCAGACAACAAATGTTTTTGGAACGCAGATGTCTTTGGACAATAAATGCCTTCGGACGACGACATCGCCGTAACATAATACGAACGCAAAAATTTTGCTGTCATATAAAAATTTGAAAATGTGACTTTTCATAGTTTTACTGGGAACATTGTGCCATCAATGCATCAATATTTCCACCTAATCAACATTAAATAAGTATTGTTTGTATGGGGTTTCCCATTCATCAATCCCTAATTGTTTCAAAATGTTTCACCTTGTAGAGAAAAATATTTTAGAAAATTGGCCAACCAGAATAAACGATTGCCTCTGGAGAGTTTGTTTTTGTCCCACTTTCTGACTTACTACAACCTTGGTTTTTAAAACTAAAGGCTCCAAAGACCCTGAGTCGCTCACTTAGGTCTATTTGCATCTTCAACAATGGGCACTCTCCAACATTGTGGTCTAGAATAGAATTCATGACAAAAATCTCTTTTTTTTGTTTATCCTGAATTGCTGATTTTTTTTTCTTCCAAAACACCAAAAAGGGTAAACAATCGTCATTTAAGGACAATCACTCCTATACAGAATCTACTAACGATTTCAGAAAAATTTCACTTATTTGTATATCTTGTCTTGCTGAAGATTTTTGCTATTTAAAGTGTCTTTCTATCTTCTATAGTTTTCAAGATAATAGGCAAAAAACTTAAAATATTGGTAAAATCGTCATTGAAGACCAAGAACTCTTATAAAGAGTAGACTGATGATTTCTGCTATGTTGACTTATTTGAAGATCTGGTCTTGCTGATCACTTTTGCTATTTAAAGTGGCTATATATCTACAAATGTATCTATAATAGTTTTCATGATAAGAGGCAGAACACTAAAAATGGGTAAAAATCAACATTAAAGAGCAATAACTCCAATAAGGAGTGAACTGATAATTTCAACCATGTGAACTTATTGTAGATCTTGTCTTGCTGATCATTTTTGCTTTTTTCAGTTTCTATCCATCTATTATAGTTTTTTCAGATATTAGGCAAAAATGCAAAAAATTTATAAAAATAGTCATTGAAGGGCATTAACTCCAATAAGGGGTCAACAACGATTCAGCTATGAAATTTGATTGGAGATCTTGCCTTGCTGATCATTTTTGCTTATTCAAGATTTCAAGTTTCTAATAAAAATCTTCATTAAAAGACAATAACTCCAATAAGGAGTCATCTGAAGACTCGACCATGTTGACTTATTTGTAGACCTTGTCGTCCTGATCATTTTTGCTTTTGAAGTTTCTATTAACTATTAAAATTATCAAGATAATAGGCAATAAAAAGATGCGCCATGAGTGCATGATATGCTGGTCGATTTTCAAAGAATAAAGTTCCATAACTCCTCAATGTCATATCAGAAATTTATAAAAAAAAATAAAGGGAGGTTATTCTAATAGATATAAACCAGTCACCAAAGTTTCATGGAAACTGCTCAAAAAACTTTCAAGTTATTGTCCGAAAACTGGAAAATCATCCCTTTTTTATGAATAAAATCAAACAACTCGGAAACGTAAAATCTAAAATTTATAAAAATCAAAAGGGAGCATACGTCAATATATATAAACAATTCACCAAAGTTTCTTGCAAATTGGTGAAAGTGTTTTTGAGTTATTGTCTGAAAGCTGGAAAATCCCCCTTTTTTAATGAATAAAACCACATAATTCAGAAATGTAATATCTAAAATTCATAAAAATACAAAGGGAGCTCACATCAATAGATATTAACAAATCCCCAAAGTTTCTTGCAAATTGGTGACAGAGTTTTTGAGTTATTGTCCGAAAACTGGAAAATCCCCCTTTTTCAATGAATAAAACCCCATAACTCAGAAACGTAGAATCTAATATTTATAAAAATTGAAAGGGAGCTCACGTCAATAGATATAAACAATTCACCAAAGTTTCATGCAAATTGGTAAAAGTGTTTTTGAGTTAATGTCCGACATGTTGACGACGGACAGACAACGGTATACCATAATACGTCCCGTAAACGGCCGTATAAAAATGAACAAATTGGTAAAATTAATAATATAAGTACAATAACTCCTATGATAAGAATATTTTCTTATATATTTTGATATAAATGGACAATAGTTGGGTCAATATCTTTAATTGTTTTTCCATAGGCGGTAATGGTAACGTTTTTTTCTGTAGCTCTGTCCATATCGTAAACTTGGATATGGATGATAGCTCGTTTCGAAACTGTGACATTTTCACATATGTGGTTAAATTTTCGGGGTACGAAGTGAGATCACTTTTTCCGTAAATTAGCATACCCCGAACATCCTTCCTTGATGCAGCTCCTCGTGGTAAAAAATCCCTTTTTTAACACAATAAGTTCTTTGAAAATTCAATACTTTGAACACATTTAATAGCTCCATAGTTTTTACACATTTATTCTATGTTCCTCTACTTTCCTAATCACCACAAATGGTTGAGCTCAGTCATTTGTAAAAAATAGAAACATGTCCAATATCACTACACAGAGATTTTTTGTTTACACACAACTTTTGAGTTCCTCATTTCGAGGCGCATTAGGGATATTGACCCATATTGAAATCCATAGTTCTGATTTTTCCAAATATTTTTGTGTGATCTTCATCAGTATGACTTTCTGAATAAATCTGTGAATTTTTGTCCATTTCTGAAAAAAAATAAAGTTGTTCCAGCATTATAAGGTAATGACACTTTTATCGCTATATTTATTTATTTTGAATACAATGCGTATGTATAATTAATTTCTTCCAGTATACCTTCACTAGTCAAAACATGGACAAAACATCTGATGATAACCTTAAATTACAATACACAGACCCTGTTAAAGCATTCAATAAAATTTTCTGATGCCTAAAAGTGCATTTTGACTGAGAAATTATGCAAAAATGTAGATCTCATAAAAAAAACACCAAAATACTTAATTATTTTTACCAGTGGAAATCTGGTATTTTATACAGTAGAAACCACTCTAAACTACTGTGAATGTCATTTTTATCATATAATTAGAGTGCAAATTTTCAAAACTTGTCTTTTCACATACTTCTATTTGAAAAAAAAGTCTTTTACATGTATTTCAGTGAAAACCCTTTATCAGTGAGAAATGCCCATGAGGTTTGAAAGGAAACATTGTGACATCACAGGTATTATGGCGTCATTAAATAACGACAGATCAAAATAATGCTAACTATAGTTTGCAGTGTTACATGAGGGACAGTTACCGCAAGGTTTAACTCGAAAAATGGAGTCGAGAAGATCAGTAACTAAGCATTTTTATATAATATCAAGACCATAGCAACAGTTTTCATATCAGCATATTTTTAACATACCGACTGTAATTTCAATTGCATAAATACCATAAATAAACAATTTAGAGCTTGCCTAATAAAAACAAAATGCTTACCAGTTATTCAGAACTTTTTAAAACCTCTAGTTTGCAGTCTCAGGTTAAATAGTAATGATATGTCTGGAACTGAAATAAGACAAAAAATTTACTCAGGCTGTGTTGTCATTTGATTTAAATACACAAGTATTATTGAGAGAGAATTAGAGGCTCTCAAGAGCCTGTGTCGCTCACCTGATTCTACTTTGGTTTTGGAAATCATGTAAAAATAGATTAAAATCATAACAGATACCCTAAAAATGAGTGAGGCCAAATTTGGTTTAATATTGGTCCTGTAATTTAATAAAAAATCCTGGTGGCCATCTTCAACAGTAAATCGGCAACAAAGTAGCAACACTTAATCAGCACCTCATAAGAAACATTTATGCCATGTTTTGGTTTCATTCCATTCAGTGCACCTCTAGAAGAAGCATTTGTTTGTATTTCCCATAGGGTCTTATGTTAAAGGAAGTCCCCCTATTGGCGGCCTTAATGGATGAAGGATCAGCTTCAAAGTAACAAAACTTAATCAGCATCTCATAAGGAATATTCATGCCATGTTTGGTTTCAATCCATTCAGTATGTGGTTCTCTAAAAGAAGACATTTGTATACATGTATTGTCATAGGGTCCTTTGTTAAACATTGTCCCCATCTGGCAGCATCATGGATGGAGGATCAGCTTCAAAGTAACAACACTTGGTCAGCACCTCAAAAGGAACATGCATGCCATGTTTTGTTTCATTCCATTCAATGGTTCTCTAAAAGAAAACATTTGTACGTATTTCTCATAGGGTCCTATGTTAAACTAAGTCCTCCGCTGACGGCCATCTTAGATTATGGATCGGCTTCATAGTAACAACACTTGGTCAGCACCTCATAAGGAACATTCATGCCATGTTTGGTTTCATTCCATTCAGTGTTTCTCTAAAAGAAGACATTTGTATGTATTTCCCATAGGGTCCTATGTTTAACTAAGTCCCCCGCTGGCTGCCATCTTGGATGATGGATCAGCTTCAAAGTAACAACACATGGTCAGCACCTCATAAGGAACATTCTTGCCATGTTTGGTTTCATTCCATTCAGTGGTTCTCTAAAAGAAGACATTTGTATGTATTTCCCATAGGGTCCCATGTTAAACTAAGTCCCCCGCTGGCGGCCATCTTGGATTATGGATCAGCTTCAAAGTAACAACACTCGGTCAGCACCTCATAAGAAACATTCATGCCATGTTTGGTTTCATTCCATTCAGTGGTTCTCTTAAAGAAGACGTTTGTACGTATTTCCCATAGGGTCCAATGTTAAACTAAGTCCCCTGCTGGCGGCCATCTTGGATTATGGATCAGCTTCATAGTAACAACACTTGGTCAGCACCTCATAAGAAACATTCATGCCATGTTTGGTTTCATTCCATTCAGTGGTTCTCTAAAAGAAGGCATTTGTATGTATTTCCCCTAAGTCCCATGATAAACTAAGTCACCCGCTGGCGGCCATCTTGGATTATGGATCGGCTTCAAAGTAACAACACTCGGTCAGCACCTCATAAGGAACATTCATACCATGTTTGCTTTCATTCCATTCAGTGGTTCTCTAAAAGAAGACATTTGTATGTATTTCCCATAGGGTCCTATGTTAAACTAAGTCCCCCGCTGGCGGCCATCTTGGATTATGGATCAGCTTCAAAGTAACAACACATGGTCAGCACCTCATAAGGAACATTCATACCATGTTTTGTTTCATTCCATTCAGTGGTTCTCTAAAAGAAGACATTTGTATGTATTTCCCATAGGGTCCCATGTTAAACTAAGTCCCCCGCTGGCGGCCATCTTGGATTATGGATCCGCTTCAAAGTAACAACACTCGGTCAGCACCTCATAAGGAACATTCATACCATGTTTGGTTTCATTCCATTCAGTGGTTCTCTAAAAGAAGACATTTGTATGTATTTCCCATAGGGTCCTATGTTAAACTAAGTCCCCCGCTGGCGGCCATCTTGGATTATGGATCGGCTTCAAAGTAACAACACTCTGTCAGCACCTCATAAGAAACATTCATGCCATGTTTGGTTTCATTCCATTCAGTGGTTCTCTAAAAGAAGACATTTGTATGTATTTCCCATAGGGTCCAATGTTAAACTAAGTCCCCCGCTGGCAGCCATCTTGGATGATGGATCCGCTACAAAGTAACAACACTTGGTCAGCACCTCATAAGGAACATTCATGCCATGTTTGGTTTCATTCCATTCAGTGGTTCTCTAGAAGAAGTTCAAAATGTAAAAAGTTAACGCCGACGCCGGACGACGGACGCCAAGTGATAAGAAAAGCTCACTTGGCCCTTCGGGCCAGGTGAGCTAAAAAATCAAATTTTTGAAAGTTTTAACACAAAGAAAGATAAAGGCTTCTCCCTTGTGGCTTATCAACCTTCATTTAAACCTTTTATATTAGAAGCAATGAGTAGTAGCTTAATAGTTGAATAGGTGCAGCACTATTGTTTTCAAAAGGTTTGACCCTCCCTCTTTTTCACTGAGAAAAGACAATATCGTGTGATTTGCTAGTGTGCATTAAAATATAATAGTTCATGATTTTCTTAATACATGTTTGTCTGTTTATTTGCATATAATTTCTAATGACTAGGGGTCAAATTATTGGTTAAAAGCACATGTGATGATGTATCTCACTTTACTCGTATGAAGACTGAAGTGTGTTATTTCCCTTGATTATCAGTTAATTCCTGTAGACCGGAATGATAATTACATAACAAAGACTGTATTGTGTCATGTTTACTTACAATTTAATAATATTAAATGTTTCCATAAGCAGTTCATGCCTTTTTCAAGTAAATAACAATTGCTTTTCTGATCTCTCGGGGTAAACAAAGTTATGATTGTGCCTAAAAGAAGTGTTCAGCCCCGTGCCAGTAATGCATTTCAAAAGCGAACATTTTTGCTAATCTTTATCGATAATGTTTATCTAAAACCAGCTGGGATAACTAGGTATAAATAAAAGACTACTAACTGTTATTTTCACAATTTTCTCAGGTTTACAAGGTGCAATCATCCATAAATCAGTCTGAAAACTGCTGAAAATCTTCTTGTAATTTGGGTCAATATCTTTAATTGATTTTCCATAAGCGGTAATGGTAACGTTTTTTTCTGTAGCTCTGTCCATATAGTAAACTTGGATATGTATGATAGCTCGTTTCGAAGCTGTGACCTTTTTACATATGTGGTTAAATTTTCGGGGTACGAAGTGAGATTACTTTTTCCGTAAATTAGCATACCCCGAACATCCTTTCGTGATGCGGCTCCTCGTGGTAAAAAATCCCTTTTTTAACACATTAAGTTCTTTGAAAATTTAATACTTTGAACACATTTAATAGCTCCCTAGTTTTTGCGTAAACCCCTGAGGGTTTACGCAGTATATATTGGACGACCTCCGTAGTCTTTCGGAACACCGGAAGTCTTTTTCTGAATACATCTGTTCTTTTCTACGACCACCTGCGTAATAGGTAATTAATTGATCTAATGAATATTCATTACCGTTATACCGTTGTTGAAGAGATAAGTGTTTATCGAGACTATATAAACAAGTCTAAATTGAAAACGGCGTTCAAACCTATGATTGCGTTGGATAAAAACCGCAATTTTTATACGTGTGCATGCAAAACAAATTTCTTGGTAAAGGGGTCTAAATACAGCACAAAAATCATTTTTCAAAAGACCAAAAAAGTGAAAATATATTTTAACAAAACACATTTGATTAGCAGGTCGAACAACGGATGTTCTTAAACCTTGCTGACTGTCATGGCGATTGCCAAATAAACGGATCACAGATGTAACAAAATGGATCTTAATTATCAATTTAATACCAAACTGAAAACAATAAACTTGCGGAAAAGATGGTATACCGCAAACATGATGTGTAAAAATTTGTACACCATATCCGGATTTCGACAATTAATGTCTCTTCAGTGATGTTAGGAATCGAAACGGTATTTGGAAGGCCATATAATTTACCTTAATTTGAGATTGACTCTTGAATTTTGAAGAGTCGAAATAGGATGAACGGATCATATAAACCAGAAGGCAAATATAATACAAGCCCAAACGAAAAAAAAAAATAACAAGTCTAAATTGAAAACAACGTTCAAACCTATGATATCGAGACTATATATATATATTTGATATCCTCTGAGACTATTATACTAATATATTTTGTCACAGATATCCTACATCAGTAATTAATTGATAGAAGATGATGTGTGAAGTTTTCTGAAGCACAAGCTGTGCTCCCATATGGGATAAGATTTTAAGCGGAAAAACGTGACTGTCAGTGAATAGATAGAACGTTTTTATGATTTTAAAATTTGGCCATTTTTTAGCGAAATGAAAAAAAAAGAGCTCAGTCCATTTAAGCAGCGTTTAAATTCTTAACAGAATAAAGTACGGCCATACGGTTGCCAGTAATTGCTCACCTCCACTTCATTTTAACTCTAGTGGATAGTTGTCTCTTTGGCAATCATACCATACGTCCATATTTTTTATCAATCTTATATGAAAACAATGCCAGTTAACCCTGGAAATTAAGACGAAATTAAAAAGGCATTTTTTTGGTGTGTTAAATCAGTGAAATATAATACAGTAGTGTAAGTGTCTGGCCAATTAAAGGCAAAATTATGTCATATCAAAACAGCTGATTGATGAATACACGTTAGACTAAGCCCTTAAAATTATTCTATAGATCTATATAAAACGATTCACGAACACCAAATTTCTAATTCTTTAAAACTTATGGTCATTGCGATAAACAAAAATGGGTTTTGATATATTCCTCGATGTTTAACATCGAAAACTATTGTAAATTACTACCGGTATGTTGTTTTTGAGAAAAGATTAGCAATATATTGTTTACGTACTTATTTAGTGATGATTATCTTATCAAGTCAGAGATCCGTTTGTTTTCTCTTTTGTATGGGGGGGGGGGGGGGGAGGGGAGGGAAGAGTTTTCTAAGGGACACTGACCTGTGTCGACAACCCTCTCCAAAAAATAAAGTTATAAATGGAAAAATCCATTCTTTTGTTTTTGTCATGTGAAACCCCTCCCCAAATAAAGCTAGTTAAAAAAACATAATGTAGCAGGTGCACAGCTTTGTGTCTTGTAAGTCTTATAGATGAAGTTTTGGGAATTCCGTCAATTCATTTACACGGAGTTGCGGCAATCTGTATTCATAAGTCAAGTTAGAGGGTCTAGTTGACAGAGGCCCAGAGCTTGTTTTCGCGAAAAATTAGGACGATATGTTATAAGCAAAATAAAAACACACATAAAAAACCCAGCTTAGTACAAATTATTTTTCTTAAAATGAAAATCAATATCCGTATTCAACGGACAGGCGATTGCAAAAATAAAAATATTTTTTTTAAATTGCGTACTGAACTACATGTATACTGCATTGGCCTTTTCATTCCTGCTTTCTTCTCAGTTTCTATCACACAGCCGTATAAAAACAACAAAGCTACAGCTTCTTTTTATTTGGGCTAATTTACAAAAAAGTCAAGCGAGAAATAAAAAAGTATAAAGTTCCGGTTTCAAACTGTTTCACTCCAAAAGCTTGGTTTGAGTTTGTTGCCCGTGCATGGTATTTATAAATTGATCAAAAATATCGTGAATATGATAGCCAATGACCAAACAACAAAACAAAAGCAATATTTAAAAAAGAAAACATTAAATGTAATTATCTATAAGTATTTCGGTGAGGAAAAAACAAAAATTTGCTTCCACAATTTGCAGATTTAACATTGTTGTTATGATATTTAGAGTAGTTATATGTATATAAACCATTAATATTAACCATTAATATTAATATATATATATTTATAAACCAGTTTGATACGTTTTCAAAAAAAAAAATGGTTTTAGTTGGGATTATCAAAAAAGAATGCAGCTTAGAATTTTTAACTATTTTCAAACTGGCTACAAACAAATAATGATCATGATTAATTGATTAAATTTCTTCACATTTGCATTTGAACTTTAGCCTGAAAACTAACTCTTATCTAAAAAAAACAGCACCTTAGAATGGAACATCCAGTGGGTGACTTAGCATGTTGTCTATCGGGAGAGCAGAGATACAAAAAATGATTCCTTTAACAAGAATATTTCACCCCACATTGAACAGTAGTTACATGAACAATCAATGTCAGTTTCTAATTCTTATACAACAAAAATAATGTAAAACAATGCATCTTTATTAAACACTTATCTGATATTTAATGCCAAACAAGCATTTAGGTTTATGATTGCATTTCTTTTTTTAAAGAAAGCAACTTGTTACACATTTATTCTATGTTCCTCTACTTTCCTAATCACCACAAATGGTTAAGCTCAGTCATTTGTAAAAAATAGAAACATGTCCAATATCTATACACAGAGATTTTTTGTTTACACACAACTTTTTTCCTCATTTCGAGGCGCATTAGGGATATTGACCCAGTTACATCTAATCATTCTGCACATTTTTTAACATGTTTGGTTAAATTTGGCCCAGTAGTTTCAGAGGATAAGATTTTAGTAAAAGTTAAAGACGACGGACGATGACAACAGATGCCAAATGATGATAAAAACTCACTTGGGAGCTAAAAAGTTAGATATAAAAAAAATTTTGCATTTTATTCATAAATGTTTTTGGCAGTCACCATTACACTTTTACATTGACAGCATGCCAGCAAACACAGGCAAAACATAGGGTTGCATGGAAATTCTGTGCTGCTGCTGCTGTCAGTGTAAAAGTAAATGTATATACAATGAACCCCTATACTATCTTCAGTGATTTTTAGTGTATGGTAAGCAACAAAACTGACTTGTACTAAAAGATGCAGAGCAAACACCAAAATCACTTTGCCACCATTAGGCCAATATCATATATATACTGTGAAAGTACTTTAATTCATGAGTATCAATTTTCGTGGTTTTAGCAAAAGTTACATGTTCGTGGGTTCTTAAATTCGTGGATTTTAGTTTTCTGAAGAAAAAAATTGTTATATAGATTCTTGAAAATAATCATATGTTGTTCTATAATAATTTGTTGGACATTGCAAAATAATGTGTTCGTTTTCGCTTACTTGTTCGTCTTTCATTACTGACAACATTCATCAATTTTTTAATAAAATAATTGCTTTCGTAAATAAGCTGATTCATCTATGCTTACAAATTGTCTCGACTGAATGAAATTGCAAAGTAAACATTTTAATTATTGCACATGTGTAATCAGAAGTGATGACACTAATTAACCCGAAATTTAATGATCATCAGATTAAAGGTCATCAAAAGTGTTAATTGTGTCATAAACGGGTCACTTAAAGCAAAGGATTACATAAACAAATGCTACAAATGGTGAAGTTGAAATCATCCCTTCGTAAATTTTACGGACGCCATCAAGAGTTGGTTGACCGTTATGGAATAACCGTTTCACAGACGATATCGGATATGTTCCTTATGTCGTAACTACAATACCCTTCCCTTTTCACGAATGTGACCTACCTAATTAGACTATTTACCGGATTTGTAATAACATAAGCAACACGACGGGTGCCACATGTGGAGCAGGATCTGCTTACCCTTCCGGAACACCTAATATCACCCCCAGTTTTTGGTGGGGTTCGTGTTGCCAAGTCTTTAGTTTTCTATGTTGTGTCATCTGTACTATTATTTGTCTGTTTGTCTTTTTATTTTTGGCCATGGCGTTGTCAGTTTGTTTTCGATCTATGAGTTTGACTGTCCCTCTGGTATCTTTCGTCCCTCTTCTACAAATGTACTTTGAAATGTAGAATGAATTCTGAATGAAATAAAATAGCAAGCCAAATATGATTTTTTTCGTATGAGAATATGAGGAGATAAATTCAACACTTCATCATCGAATATCATCTCTGAAAGTCGGACTTTCATTGATCGAAACTAACTTTTAATGACAATTAAAAGGTTAAAAGTCGTACATTTTAGGTTTTTTAAAGATTAAATGGATAAAATCCTGTCTGATGTTGTATATATTGTTCATATTGTGTTTGATTATATCTAATGTACTCTAGATATGCCGGAATCAATGTAGTAAAATCTATACCAATGTACACGGGGATCTTTCCATGTCTTGATTTGGACAACAGTTGTTATATTTCGTTGGACACTTAAATTCGTGGATAAAGCCATCCACGAAAACCATGAAAATTGGTACCCCATGAATAAAAGTCCTTTTACAGTACTTAATTTGATTCTTTATGTGAGACACTTAATGTAATATTACAAAAGTTAATATACACAGTTCACTACTGGTTTTCAATGGGGTTCCTGTTACCCAATCTTTGGTTTTTGGTGTACTATTTTTTTAACTGTCTTTAGTCTTTTTATTGTTTTCTTTTTGGCCATCTACTTTTAATTAACCCTGTGGTATCTTCTTCCTGTTTTTAACTAAGAAATTCAGAAAAATCTAAACAGTGCTATGTCATAGTAAGAAAAGTTGCAGATATTAGTAATCTGATTGCAATTAATGTTCCCCTCATTCCACAGACTGATCTTTAGAGTTGATATAAACACCACATCTTTTATGGAATTCTAAAATTCAACTTCAATTAGAAAAGGACTGGAAAAAAATTAATAATTAAAATAAACTCAAATCCTCAGAGCTAGCTTAATTTGCACAAATGCTTATCCATG